CGTGGTGGTTGGATGGCTGTTCTGTTTAAGAAAGGCCTGAGTGTGAGACATCTCTCTTCCAGCCATGATGATGTATACACACACTTTGAGCACATGACTTGTTCTGTCATTGCTGGTGATAAACGATTTAGATTGTGTTTCATTTACAGGCCTCCACCATCTAAACAGAATGCTTTCCGAAATACAGTGTTTTTTTATGAATGGTCTACCTTTTTAGACCACCAAGTTGTTGAACCACAAGAGATTATTATCACGGGTGATCTAAATTTCCACTTAGACGATCTATCTAATGTTGATGCTCGCCAGTTCTCTGGTCTACTAGATTCCAGGAGTCTGATTCAGCATGTGACAGAAGCTACACACACCCATGGCCACACACTGGATGTGGTCATAACGAGGGAAGATAACTCAGTCATTCATGGAGCTATTTCAGTCATTGATCCATGTCTAAGTGATGTAAAGGGGAACCAATCTGGTGATCATCTTGCTGTCCACACAACACTGAATTGTAGTAAGCCAGCTCGTGCAAGGAAAGAAGTGAGCTTCCGGAAATTCCGCGAAATTTCAATACCAGATTTCAACAATGACATTCAGTCTTGTTCCGCCCTTCAATCTACTGAAGGCAAGGTTGATGATCTTGTTGAAGCATACACATTTGGTATAGAAGCCCTTATAGAGAAACACGCACCTCTGCAAACTAAGGTGATAACTGTGAGACCAAATGCCCCGTGGTATAATGAAAATCTCCGCGTGGAACAGCAGAAACGTAGACAAGCAGAGAGACAGTGGCGACGGACCAAATTAACCGTTCACAAACTGATTTATAGAGAGCAATGTCGGCTAGTTGGTTCACTGCTCTTTCAGTCAAAGAAGGCTTACAATTCGGAAAAAATCGAAGGATGTGGCAAGGATAAAAGACAACTTTTTAGACTCACCAAAAACCTAATGCGACAGAAAGGTGAAATTATCCTACCAAGCTGTAATTCTGAAAAAGACTAAGCAAGCAAGTTCAGTGACTACTTTCTGAATAAAATCAGCTAAATCAGGAAAAATATTACCGAAGTGAACACCTCTGCTGACATTGACATCTCTGTCATGACTGCTGACATTGCATTTGATGGGGAACCATTGACAAAGCTCTCACCAACAACCCAGGACGAGTTGCGCAACATTATCATGACCTCACAATCGAAGTCCTGTGCGCTTGACCACTGCCTACAGACCTATTAAAGCAATGTCTTGAAGCACTGCTTCCTTTGATTACCGCAATCACGAATAAATCATTGGTTGAATAAAAAATTCCATTATGTTTCAAGAATGCACATGTCAGACCATTGTTAAAAAAGCCTGGAATGGACAAGGAGGAGTTGAAAAACTATCGCCCAGTTTCAAATCTGCCTTTTCTGTCTAAGATCTTGGAGAAGGTTGTGTCCCGGCATTTAGAGGCTCATCTCCATGCAAACAGTCTCCATGACAACATGCAATCGGCCTACCGCAAGGGACACTCTACTGAGACGGCCCTCCTACGTGTACTTAGTGATATAGCTTCTGCATTGGATAACAAGTGCAGAGCGGTGCTTGTCATGCTGGACTTGTCAGCTGCATTTGACGTCATCGACCATGGCATACTTTATAAACGTCTGGAATACTCTTATGGAGTGACTGATACCGCACTATGCTGGATACAGTCATACCTGAGTGAACGACGACAGTGTGTTGCCATCGGATCTGCCACCTCACATGACATGTTAGGACCCCGAAAATATTGTATGTACTCCAAACCGATTGGAGAGATTTGTCGTCGCCATAGCCTTCTCTATCATTGCTATGCTGATGACACACAAATTTACATGGTCCTAAAACCACAGGACAGTTGGAATACAGTCTCAGAAAGTCTGGAAGCTTGTCTGACAGATATCAGTATCTGGATGAACGCCAACATGCTTAAACTTAATCAGGAAAAGACGGAACTAATCGTCTTTTCCCCAAAGTGTCAGCAAACAATGGCTCTCCAGCTTAAGGTTGGTGCCAGAACTATTGAGACTGTTCCAGCTGTTAAAAACCTAGGGGGATACTTTGACAGTTCTCTGAACATGGAGAAACAAGTGAACGCTATTGCCAAATCCTGTTACTACCAGATCAGGAACATCGGCTGTCTTCGGCAGTTTCTAACTGCATATGCATGCAAGATTTTGGTACATTCACTTGTTACCTCTCGGTTGGATTATGGTAACGCCCTGCTCCGTGGTATATCTGACAAACTAACTAGTCGTCTGCAGAGGGTTCAGAACACTGCAGCGCGGCTAGTTACTCGTACTCGAAAGAGAGAGCACATCACACCTGCGCTTTATTCGTTGCACTGGTTACCTGTAAGATACAGGTCGCAGTACAAAATTCTGGTATACACAAACAAGGCACTGAATGGAACAGCTCCTCAGTACCTACAGGAACTTGTTACCCTGTATCAGCCGTCAAGATCACTGCGGTCGGAGTCAGAATCTTTGTTGTGTGTCCCAAAATCTCGTACTGTGACCTACGGAAACAGATGCTTTGGGAGGGTTTCGGCTACGTTGTGGAATAGCTTACCATCTGCTATTAGGAAGTCGAATACCCTGGCCAAGTTCAAGAGGGACATAAAAACTCACCTCTTCACGTCTGCATTTTAGAATCTTTGCAAAGACGTAATGTAAATACCACCCTTTTATTTGTTCAATTATGTGCACATTGCTTGTTAAATGTATGAAAGTGATTGCAAGCCTTTGTTGTTTGTTTTCACAATTATAACCATTACTATTATCCATATGTTGTAAAGCGCCTTAGAGTAATTTTACAAATTATATAGGGCGCTACATAAATGCTGTATATTATTATTATTATTGTTAACATTCACAAACCAGCACAATAACTGTTGACTCTTTACCATTAAATATCCTAATACACACAAATAGCCCTAGATGTTCTTAACACCACAAAACAAATACCGCATCCCTCGAATCCCTTACACACATCCACTCATACAAGAACTGTTGAGTCTATAAAACCCTGATACAACCAGTAGCCCTCGGCCCTTTAACATTCACAAACGGATTTACAACTCAGTTGGTTGTATTTGGTTGTAGTGGTACATATTCAACACTGTCTATCAGGCGGAACGTATCATAGACTCGGGGACTATGCATGGAAGATTGGCTTTGAGAGCCGTTGGTGTTGTACGTCGTGTCGCTACCACAGGGAATACGTTGTAGTATGTTACTCTGTGTGGGTAGAATGATAACGATACATTTCTATTGTGTCTGATATGTGTTTGGTGATTGTTCGCGGTTCTAAAGTCTGTTGGGAGTAGAAAGGTAGTATAATATTCTTGTTTTGAAGTATGTGAATCACCAATGAGGTAGATTTAGTTAATCATGTAGGTCACTGAGGTTCGCTGCATTGTTTGTGTATCGGTCTATTTATTCCAGGTAATTGATTTAGTTCGTGTTGTATGGGCCCCATACTATGTTCAGGTGGTGTTGAGTTACGTTTGGGAAAACCCAGTAATCTGTTGGTACTGGGAGTGACGAAGTGTTTGTCCCATTTTTGCCATTTGCCATTGTTCTGTTGTGCGAAATCTATCATTTCTTAATGTTGTCTAAGAAGAGATTGAATTTTAGTCTGTAGTCATGTTGTATTTTTTAAGTTAACCAAAACAGAAAAAAAAATCATCACACCACGTGTTTCCCATTTCCTAGCTGTATCTATACATCCTATTGAAGTTTTAGTTTCTTTCACCTCTTTAACTGTAGTTCTGAATATGACGCGATTATCTGCTGTGTTAAGTACTATTTTCTATGTATTATAAGAGGTTATCGATTTAAGCAAAAAGAAAATGAATACTTAACAATTCCTAGGTGGAATATTACTTGTATTGTGTAAAAACGGAGTTCAACAAGTCGTACTGTCTTGATTAGCCAATGGTGTTTAAATATTTTTATTTTTAATATGTGTATGTTCTTATGAATAAAAACCGTCAATTAATAACGTTTGTTTGTCTGCTTGGTGTTTTGTTTTATATTATTGTTGTCTTAAAGGAGTTCACGTTTGAATAAAGTAAGCTATTGTCCAAAAGATCTGAAAGCAAATTTTACAGTCGCAAAGGTTTTTAGGCTGATATGTATTCCAAGCATCTTCGTGATTGGGCATTTTCTTTGTCAAATATTACCACCTATTTGAGGTATGCATTGCGGGTTTGTTTTTGATACTTCTTCTATTTGTTGCAATAATGATTTGTAAATAAGTTACAATCAACACAGCTAGACTGTACCAGGATAACTTCCAGGCTTCATGGATTAAAACAAATTTTAAAGTTGAAATTAAATGTGTATAAATTCATCTCGCAGTGACCCAGTACAATCACGGACTGCAACACACATGAAAAGATCATGATAAAGCAATGGTAAAGGGGAAACAAATTTGAATACCTGGCATATTTACAAAAATACTATTGTAAGGTTAAATAAGTAGCCTCAACGCAAAATAGGAAGTATGATATGAATTTCAGACTTCCGTGTTCTAAGAATGCAATCTCAGAATTATCTTTATTCCAATAGAACTCAGGGTAGGAACATGCTACTATCTGAAGTGAGAACGGTAAGAAGATAGACCGCTTCCAAACCAGATGTTAAGATTTGTTTTATTAATTACCAGTTCTTGAATAAACAATTAAAATAATATAAAACTGACTAGTTCAAGATATTCACGAATTGAATAACAGACAACTTGATAGTACATTATGAATCTATACATTCAATCATGGCACCATACTTTCAATAATCCATGGAACATATTTAGGTACAAACTGAAGAGCTAGGTTCAGAAGTATATGTTCTGGGAGAGATGTTATGTTCACTTCGAGCAACTATATACTATAATAGGTATTAATATTAAATGAATTTTATTAATCTAATGCATAACATTTAAAATTCGATTTGAATTTTATCGTTATGAGATTGATTACTCACCAATCCGTGTGACGGACCGTCCGGCGACGCCGATTCCCAACAGTGCGAGAGAAACCGCCCACAGCCATAACTCCACACGTGGGTCTTGTAACATCCCTGGTGTCATCGACACAGCTGATTTAAAAAGTCAAAAATCAGGTTTAATAGAAACACACACTTGTCACAAGCAACGAACATATATGTCCATGTCGAACTAATGCAGCGTGTTTAAAGAGTTACGCCAGGTCTGTATTCTAGCGCTAGAACTCGAGAACACAAAACCAATAAATACCCGTTATAAAACCAGTGCCTGGCGACATACTCCCAAACGTCTGGTATCTGGATCATGTGAACGAAATTATGTATACACGAGGATATCGAAACGTTATAAGATTGTAACCTTCATCAATACGTAATATACTATACAGTAGATAAGTTCACAACAATCATTTGGGAGGTTCATCGGATCAATATATACATCGATAATTCAGTCGGTTATTACTCTGATGTGGCATTGCATATTGCCACAGGTATTAACAGGATTTTGGTTCAAACTACGGCTATCCTTATTAAGGAAGATACTCTGACATGGTATTGCTGTCTATACTTAATATTAGTAGGAAAAGTAAGTATGTTATATCAACTACGGACTAATATTAACAGGATTCGAAACAATAATCAAACCTCGAGATACTATTTTAACCTTAAATTACACACACATCATTTTATTTTAAAAACGAATACACATAAACATTATTCTAAAACATGATTTTTTTTTCAATCATCAAAACATATGCTTATATAATTCTCAAATCAAGAACACATAGTACCTTTAATCGAACGGTCATCACACATTATAGATTATCAAACGATGATCACACATAACATGTTTTTCGAACCATGATCACACATAAAATGCTTATCGAACCATGAACACACATAACATGTTTATCGAACCTTGAAAAAAACCTTACCTGGTTATCGAACTATGATAACTATGAACTATCCCCCGATGGCATAATCATCAAACTGATGGAGCCCTCGTATAAAGAAGAAGAAGAACAAGCATTCAATGGTAGATGAAGTGACGTGGACGAGGGGCGAGGTTGCTTTTCATTAGGTGTGTGTATTGCGGCGCGTCTAATTACCCAACACTACCCAAAACCACCCAATGCCACCCAATACTACCCAATACCACCCAAAACTTGTATTTAATTTGGCATTAACCGACGGAATTAGCTCCCCCTTGTTTCTATTTTTTTTACCTACTGATTTCAGGTATTCTCACAGGGACTCTCTCTCTGTCAATTTTCGCGTTACCGTCGGAATTATATCCAACTGTTTTCAATAGGGTGCGTGTATTGCGTGTGACGTCATCAATTTTGTGTTAATGACGGAATAAACTCCCCTGTTTTCAGCATTTTGCTTCTGATTTCAGGTGTTCTCTCCAGGACTCTCTCGCCGCTTTTCTCATTTTTTTCTGCTCTTTTTTTAATCATGTATTTTCATTTTTCTTAATAATCTTATGCTTAAAACATATCTAAAAACAATAAATAATTACAACATACATTATTTACAATATATATATGACCTTTTTTTCGTGTATTGTGTACAGATACTTTCATTCCAATCAGACGTTTAAGTTTAACGCCTTCGACGGAGAAATGAATAGGACGTTAGATAGGCTGGACATGGCGGACAGCCAGAAAGCGACGTTATGCGATCAGCAACTTAGGAAATACGTCGATCGCTATAGATAATTCTTAGGTATGGGGCAGTACTACGAAGGCACTGACGCCTACCGCTGTTTTCGTTCAAGTCATTATAGTGTTATCGGTAGTCGTAAGTCGTTTAATCAACTTATCGTTTTCAAACGGACATACGGAGTTGTGGATCACTCTACTGAGCAGCAGTCTAGGTTACGTACTTCCAATACCGTCTGTCAAACGCAGACATAAAGATGTATTATCTGACGTTACCAAGTAACAGTAGCATGGATTACTATCCGGGAAACACTTTAACCACTTATACGACGCGGTTGTCAAACCCCTTAGATCTGAAAGGAAATTGGGAGGTGGGATTAGCCGAGATACACTATCCACATATGTGGTATAACGTGAAAAGCGGCAAAGCTCAGCTGAAGTTATCACTGGGAGAGGGTAACGCGGCAAGTCTCGGATTGACGATAGACATACCGGAAGGATATTATTTCTCGACGAAAAGAGTGCTGAAATACGTGGATAAAGCAAAGAGAATGATGTCTCACGGCGATCGGCTTAGCTTTCACGTCCACGAACACGATCACAAAGTTAGGCTTAACGTTACCAAAGACATGCACTTATACCTCAATCGGGCTTTAAGCGAAATACTCGGTTTTAGAAAACAAGAATTCGTGGGCGGAATGCACATGGCGGAATTCAAGGGCGACATTCGAAGAGAATTTTATTCCCTGTACGCTTACTGTCCAGTGTCCTCTCGTCGAAGCGAGAATGGTCGAAAATACGAGAGCTCCGCTACTATGCATCGTTCCGATAAAGGGCAAACCTGGCGACACGGTGTGTAAAGTATTTAATCTCGTACACTACGTACCTTTACAACAATGTCAATTTCAAGAAGTGGAACACACGCTGAGAGACGACACGGGCGCACCCATACCGTTCGAGACCGGAAAAGTAGTGATGACGCTACATTTCAAAAGAAGACCCTTAGACTTTCCCTGAAAATGTTATATATACCAGTCCAAACGACAGTGATCAACAGAAATCTGCAGTGATCCACGAAGATCTACGAAAATATTTCAAAAACTTCAAGATGAGACATCCTCCACACAGAAGCAGAAAAAGAGGAGAAAGAAAAGAAAAGAAAAAAACCCCCAATGAAACAGCGGCGAGAGAGTCCTGGAGACAACACCTGAAATCAGAAGCAAAAAGCTGAAACAGGGGAGTTAGTTCCGTCATTAACACAAAATTGAGTTACGTTTGGGAATACCCTTCGAGAATACCTGAAATCAGAAGGTAAAAAAGATAGAAACAAGGGGGAACTAAATCCATCGGTAAATGCCAAATTGATGACGTCACACGCAATACACACACCTATTGAAAACAGTGGGAGATAATTCCGTCGGTAACTCGAAAATTGATGACGTCACACGCAACACACACACATGATGAAGTGACGTAGAGGGGGGGGGGGGGGGGGGGGGGGGTAGGTTTACGTTATTGCTAAGGAGCCATATTGGATCCAAGATGGCGGGTTCCCTTCGCAACCCCGCCCCCTCATCCACGTCACTTCATCAATTGGTTGTAAAACTATGAACAAATTGACGGTGATATCACAACTCTTAAAAGATTTTTCGAACCATGAACACACATTTACAGGTTTTCCCGACGTTTATAAGAAATATAAATCACCGTAGAAAAGGAATTGTTTATTTACAAACATATATATGGGAGTGTATCAATTTAAAAAATAGTAGTGTTTTAATTGTACAGCGACACCAATTTGTTGTACTAAACAAAGTATTCAAACATGTAGAACTTGTAACAAAACAAATCGCCTTATTTACTCCAGAAATAAGTCAATGACTCGTTTTTTATGCACAATATATAAGGCACGGTGTTATAAAATATATGCAAAGATAGAAATACATAGAAAATGTTACTTAGCCTAACTTTATGAGTCTGTCTCCTGACTAATGACAGAGACGTACTATAGGTGGTAAGTAGAACATGTGTATAGGCGATACATTACGACTACACACCTGTTACTACCTGCTGTGGCACTAGAGAGAAAAATCATAAAATCAAACGCTTGTTATCAGAGAAGTCAATTTGTGTTCTATAAAATGTTATGATGAGGCCATTGGAGTTAATCATTTGATCATTAATATCTATTAAATCTTGGTGTATGGCGGTATTTGAGATGAAGAGCGACTGTAATATCTTCTGCTTCTGCTCTTAAGCGTGAGTTGATTGTGCTTTTAGAGGGACACATGCGGGCTATTATACTACTCAGTCCCGGTATCAGTTCCCTATCATGTAGAGTTTGATTGAAGTAGCATTTTTTATCGGTTTTCATTGGGTTTTAATGTAAACAAATATGTTCAATGGGATTCTCCTTTGAGACGTCTGTTTGAACCTAATGAACAGACATTTATCTCAACATCGTGATAAGCATGCAGGTAACGATATGTCTCATAAATCTGTCCACAGTAATTAATCAATTAAACCATCTGTGTAATACTGCTAATGCAATTAAACTTTCTGTGTAATACTATTTAATAAATTAAACCATCTGTAAAATACTGCTTATTCAATTAAACTATCTGTGTAGTACTAATTTTAAAAAAAACACCCATCTGTTTAATACTGCTAATGCAATTTATTTCTGTGTAGTACTAATTAATCAATTAAACCATCTGTGTAATACTGCTAATTCAATGAAACTATCTGTGTTATACTAATTAATCAATTAAACCATCTGTAAAATACTGCTAATGCAAATTAACTATTTGTGTAATACTAATCAATCAATTAAACCATCTGTGTAATACTGCGAATTCAATTAAACTATCCGTTCGTGTTACAAGTAGTTACCGATTAAATTCCGTGTACCAATGGCTGGGTGCTACAAGTATTTCTATAACATTGTACGACACAACAAGCTTTCTGCATAACATGAACTATGAAATCTATAAAAACTCTAATAAGAGATTGCCTTACACTGACATCTGTTCAGATCTTCATACACATTTTATTATATTGTTGTCTGTGTTTCCCCCAAAGTGATTTCCCCTGGCTATTTTATGAATATTTCTTTGAAGACATTTCCCATAGACATTGTATCCTTTGATTTCTCTTCAAACCTAAGATGGTTATCATGTCTGTGTGCGTCCTGATGAAGCGGCATATACTCATTACCAAGTGACCCTATGCACTATTGTAATCAATTATCTAGTTGTGATTGTGAGTGTCCATTTCCACTTTGTAGGAAATTTGATAACGTCCGATTTCTCGGATCACCTTTGAAACAAATGCGTTTTAATGTTAAAAGCATTGTATTTTTTGTACCATTAGCAAATTATTTCCTTCTGAT